TTCATTCATTCAACAACTATTTATCGGGCATTTTTATGGGCAGATTTGTGTACCTCCCCTACCCCCATTGAATGTTTTGAAGTCTTAAATCCCAATATTTCAGACTGTGTATTTGGAGATAGGGGCTTTAAAAAAGTAATGAAGTTAAAATGTGGCCATTGCAGTGAGCTCTACTCCAACTTTACTGGTGCCTTTATAAGAAGAGAAGATTGAGACACAAACCCAGGGAAAGAATGCCACCTATAAGCCAAGGAGAGAGGTCGCAGAAGAAACCAGTCCTACCGATACCTTGATCTCAGGTTTCTAGCCTCATGAACTATATGAAAATAAATTTCTGTTGTTTAAGTCCTCCATCTTTGTACTTTTTATGGCAGATCTAGCAAACTAATACAAGCACTTGTTATGTAGCAGATATTATTCTAGGTCATGGGGAGATTTAGATGAATCCTGCATACAAGGTTCCTGCTCACATGGAACTTGCCATCTTGTAAGTGTCTTTTATATATGAATGGCCATTTCATTAAACACAATAAATAGGCTTCCTATATCCAGCTATGGATATCACAATCAAATATCTGCTCTCAAGGAATTTGTGACCTAACTACAATGACAATGCTTAACATGCATAGTAAAATGAAGAGACAACTTAAGACCAACTTAATTGAGGACAATTTGTCTTTAGGGATACTAAAATGAGGTGGGATTGTTTAGAACAAATTATATAGGGACATTTCCTATAAAGATTTCAAGGAGGGAGAACTTCAGACAGGCAGGCTTAAACTGAGAGGAACGGGACCTGTTATCAGGGAAAAGATCAACATGGGCAAAGGTATGGAGGAAGTTAGCCAGATGCCTTCATGAGGTAGAGTGGAGACTGTAGCAAGATCATCTTTTCGAACGTTGAGAGTTAGTAGCAGTCATTGCCACTGTTCTTGCGTATTTTCCGTAGCAAGCATTGTGTTAAATGCTTCATTTATAGACATTGCCTACTTTCATCTTTAAAGCAAAGCTACAAGTCGTTATTATTATTTTCAACATACAGGTCAAAGCCCATGACTCAAAGCAATAAAGCGATTATCTATGGCTATTACAGTTTGTTTGTTAAAAGAATAAAGAATAGATTATACCTACCCAATAACTGGTTAAAAAAATGGGAGATCATTTGGTAGAGGAAATAATAAAATGAAAGCCATAAAAAACTTGATCTGGTGGCCATTAGTAGGATGGTACAGATCAGTGGTTCTCAAACTTGGCTGCACATTAGAATTGCCTGGAGGGTTTTGAAAAGTCCTGATGTCCAGATTGTATTCCACTTCCCAAGAACTTTCCTAGACATCTTTAATATCCTGTCTCTTTCCTGTCTCCTCCTCTCCCATATACACACAGCCCTAATAGCAGTTTCTTCCACCTCTTCTATTTCCGTTACAGTTATTTTTATTTGATTTTGCCTATTTCTCCATATCATACTCTCTTAAAAATGTGATGCCCAATATGTACTTTCCTCTTGTAGCAAATCTACTGTACACTGTTCATCTCTTCATTTGTATTAATAGATTTAGAAGCAAGTTTCTTGAAATTTTCTCCCAGTTTTTTAAACATATGTGGAGAGCATCTCTCTCTCTCTCTCCCCCACCCCGCCCACCGGCTTTCTCTCTCTCCACCCCCATCCATCTAACTATGGTACTTGCAAGGAAGGGTACCTCTTGTACATATTGTAAATATGTAATCATCTCTTCTTAATTTACTGATGTCTCTGCATAGCTGCTTGATTTCTTACATCTATTGTAAACTTCTATTTGTCTGTCTGAGTTTGCTTTCTTACCCACTGAGTTCCCCAGGGGACAAGAGCCACACCTGTTTTATTTACCCTGGATATCACCAAGTAGTACAAAGCAACTTCACAGGTAGTAGTAAATATTTTTTCTGGAAAGATGTCAACAGCTTCTTGTACCAAAAGAAAGGCTAAGGGCTTGCATTGCCTAGCTGAGCATATTAGTTTTATCTTCAGTGTAAATTTTCATTTAAGATAGAAAACACAGCTGGCTGGGAGAAAGTTGTAGTTTTACTTTAGCCCACCAATGCTAGGCATGACCAGATGCTCTGTAATGGGGAGAGGCACGAGTTCTCTCTGAGCCTTTCGATCTGGCCTGCAGCACAATGATTCTGCCTGAATGATTCATCTCACTCCATTTCTACTTTCCTGCAAAGCAACACAATCAATCCTCTTAAACAGTGGTTCTCGATCCATTACCCCAGGATTTCATACAGACTGAAAATATAAATATGGTTAGGAAAAGTTTTGATAAATTAATGTAAGCAGGTCCATTATCTTGTGTTTTGGAAGGGAAAGGGAAGTTTGGGATGTGTTATTCCAACCCCTGCAGCTATCTCCAAGAGTAATCCTCTCTTAACCAACAACTGCTTGGCTCTGTTTTTGGAAATGTCCAATTGTATTTTTTTATTTGTTTCAGGGGTATGGAGATGTAGGATTGAGTCTACATCTATCTGGCACAATTTCAGTCTGAGATGCTCATGGGTCAGCAAATGACTTTGCCCTCCCTACATGTTGTTACTGAATCCCTAAAAGAAATAGAGATTTCAGAAAATCCTAGTGGGTATCTCTTGTTCTGATAGTCCTTAAGTTACTGGCCAAATATATTAAGAAGCAAATTTCAAATCAGAGTTCTACAAAACCCTAATAAACTGCTGACCAAGGAATCAGTGATTGATTCTATCAATACCAATAGGAAAACCACAGGAGAACCTGAGGGAACATTCTGAAGAAGATACCTAAATTTATAGCTAAGATAGTCATCCAAAGGGATTTGATTCTTTCTCTAAGAAGAACGGAAACATAGTTTGCCATCAAATCTTTCTATATTGCCTTTCCAGTAAAATGGAGAGGAAGACTTATAATTTCTCTTAAGTGTTCATTTTAGGCCTTGTTGTTTTACTTTTTAGAAATGTCCTAGACATTGCAAATAAAAAGAGTGAAGGATCACAGATCAATTAGCTGGGAAGTCAAAAATGAGAAGACTAGGGAACATCGATACTGGAAAATTTCACTTATCTGAGCAGCCAGCATCTAGGGGAAGCTGATGTTGAAGAGAGGATAAATACAAAGTGTTTCCTGGTGCCTTTAATAATGTGGCCATAGAAAGAACAAGCTAAAGAAATTCAGTCAAAGCCAGATAACAGCAACTTCTCATTGTTTTAAAAAGTAATAATAACCACAACACACTACGGGAGAAAGCTCCGGTAGTAACAATAAACAGAAGAGAAAAATGCGATACCCTTGAGACTTGGGGTTCTAAATGGCGATAATCACTTGCCAAAGATTACTGTGTGACTATTAACCACAACAATTCCCTTGGCCATCCAGCGAAAGCTGAGGAGTGTAAGAGCACCAGAAATTCACCGTGTGTGAAAGGTGGGGTTGTAATGCTCAAATACTCATAAGGCCTGAGCCCCATCACTAAGCTGAAAAGCATTTGTTTTCTTAAAACTGAATTATTGAATGTGGGGAAGGGCACAAGGGGCTGCCTTATTAGGAAAAAGAATTCATAATAATGGATTAGTTAAGTAATGAACAGTTCTCAATATGCTCTGAAATTAGAAAAACAAAATGCTAATTCTGTAAGGAAATCAACTCAAAACCAGGAACAGCAAATGTCATTATGATGTTCAATTGAATACATTGGTCATGAATGCTAACGTAATTGAACGGATGCAGATAGGCTGCAGAATTATACATTTCTCTCTAAGTTTTCATGGCCTGGTTTATTATTTTATTGGAGTGAGTCATGGCCATGTATGGTCTTCATACATCCAAAGCCTTCCTGAAGCCAGGGTGTAGCCACTAGCAGGCAACGCCTGCTGCAGCACTGAAATGAGTTACTAGCTATTTTTGCTGCCAAATAGGGGATGACTTTTCCCTAGATGTAAAGTAAGCAAGTGATAAAACTGCCCAGTCTGAGTTTTTATTGTGAATAAAAAGTGAAAATGACGTAACCATGAGGCAGCCCAGCATTTTAATAGAGGATCCAGGCAGTTTTAAAAAAATGATCCTATGGCATAATGGAGAACTTGATGCCATTGCTGGTAATTATGGTCCAGAGAGAGAAATAGTGAATAGGCTGAAAACTGTTAAATGTAAAGTTAGGGATGATAGTTATTTTTTGGATTATATTTATCTTTTAGGCTATGTCCTTTGGGATTGTTTTTTAGAAGCTGGTATTATCAATTTAAGCTTTAGCCTTTCCATCGAAATTTTATGAAAGACTCTAGCTCTGATAAAATTCTTATATTTATTCTTGTGTGTGCTATAGAGGAGTGGAGTGGATGGAGGGCAGAGAGGTTGCTTATGGTCAGATCCTGAGTTCGGCAAGATCTTTTCAAAACCAACTCAGATTGTACAAGTTCACATGAATGTCACTGATTCATTTTTATTTTTAGCAGCTTTGTGTAGGTTGACATACAATAACTGCATATATTTAAAAATACATAATTTTTATACATTTTGATATATTCATACACCCATGAAAACTGTCACCATAATTAAGACAGTGAACATAACCATCACCTCTAAAAGTTTGAGTCCTTTTGTAATCCTTCCCTCTCTCCCCTCCTTACTCCACCCTCTATTCCCAGGCAACCACTGATCTGTCACTATAGATTAATTTGCATTTTCTAGAATTTTATAAAATGGAATCACATTTACTTCTTTTGCCTGGTTTATGTCCCTTAGCATAATAGTTTTGAAATTTACCTATATTTTTTATACGTGAATAGTTCATTCCTTTCTATTACATTTAATGAAAATGTATATCCCTTTTCATTGTAGGTAGTATTCCATTGTGTGGCTATACCAAAATTTGTTGATTTATTCACCTGTTGATAGATATTTGGGTTATTTCTATTTTTGGCAATTACAAATAAAGAGCCTAAGGACATTCATATACAGGTCATTGAATGAACATTTTTTTCTTTTTTTCTTGCAGGTAAATATCTGAGTGGAATGGTTGGATCATGGTAGGTATATGTTTAATTTTAAAATGATGATATGTTAAATTTTTTATTGAGTTCAGAATATATTAATATTTTTCTTGAGACTTCTATTGTGTGTGCATATATACATATAATTTTTAATATATAAAAAATATATATTTATGGAACACATGATATTTTGATATATGCATCTGATGTGTAATGATCAACTTAGGGCAATTAGGGTATCTGTCACTTCAGAGATTTATCATTTCTTTGTGTTGTGAACATTTCAAATCTTCTCTGCTAGCTACTTGGAAATATACAACACATTGTTGTTAACTATAGTCGCCCTGCTGTTCTGTTAAAAACTGAAACTTATTTCTTCTATCTAACTGTATGTTTATACCTATTAACCAACTATTCTTCAACTCCCCATTCCCGTCCCCAGCATCTGGTAGCCATCATTTTACTCTTATCTCTATGAGATCAACTCCCACATATGAATGAGAACATGCAATATTTGTCTTTCTGTGCTTGGCTTATTTCAGTTAACATAATGACTTCTGGTTCCATATACATTGCTGTAAATAACATGATTTCATTTTTTTATGGCAGAATAGTATTACATTATATAAACATATTACATTTTCTTTATCCATTTGTTGGTTGATAGGCACTTAGGTGGATTCTATATTTTTGCTACTGCAACCAGTGCTGCAATAAACATGGGGGTACAGGTATCCCTTTCATATGCTGACTTCCTTTCCTTTGGATGAGTACCCAGTAGTGGAATTTCCAAATCATATGGTAGTCCATTTTCTTTAGTTTTTTCGAGAAATCGCCATGCTGTTTTCTATAGTGGCTGAATTAATTTACGTCCCCACCAAAAGTGTATAAGAATTTCCTTTTCTCCACGTTCTTGCCAGCACCTGTTATTTTTTGTTTTTTAATAACAGCCATTCTAACTTGGATAAGATGAAATATAATCATGGTTTTGATTTGCATTTCCCTGATAATTAGTGATGTTGAACATTCTTTTATATACCTGTTGGCCACTTGTATGTCTTCGAGAACTGTCTTTTCATATCCTTTGACCATTAAAAATGTGATTATTTGTTTCAAGCAACTGTTGAGTTGTTTCAGTTCCTTGCATATTCTAGACATTAGTCCCTTGTCAGCTGAATAATTTGCAAATATTTTCTTCAATTCAACAAGTTGTCTCTTCACTCCGTTGATTGTTTCATTTGCTGTGCAGAAGCTTTTTCATTTAATATAGTCTCATTTATCTATTTTTCTTTTGGTCATTTGTGCTTTTGAAGTCTTAGCCATAATATCTTTGCTTGGACCAATGTCTTGAAGCATTTACCGTATGTTTTATTCTAGTAGTTTTATAGTTTTGGGTCTTATGTTTAAGTCTTTAATCTATTTTGAATTGAATTTTATGTATGGTGAGAGAAAGGGGTCCATTTTCATTCTCCTGCATATGGATACCTAATTTCTGCGGTACTATATATTAAATAGACCATCCTTTCCCTCAGGTGTATTTTTGGCAACTTTGTTGAGAATCAGTTTGCTGTAAATGAATAAATCTAATTCTGGCTTCTCTATTTTGTTCCACTGGTATATGTGTCTGTTTTTATACCAATATTATGCTACTTTAGTTACTACAGCCTTGCAACATATTTTAAAGTCAGGTAGTGTGATGCCTCCAACTTTGTTCCTTTTGCTCAGAATTGCTTTGGCTTTTTGGGCTCTTTCTTGGTTCCATACAGATTTTAGGATTATTCTTTCTATTTCTGTAAAAACTGACACTGGCATTTTGATAGGGCTTGCATTAAATATGTAGATTGCTTTAGGGAGTATGGACATTTTAGCAATATTCTTCCTATTCATGATCATGGGATATCTTTCCATTGTTCGTTGTTTTAATTTATTTTATCTATGTTTTGTAGTTTTTCTTGAGAGGACTTTTACCTCATTGTTAAATGTATTCCTAGGTATTTTTTGTTGTAGCTATGGTTAATGGGATTACCTTCATTTCTTTTTTCAGCTAGTTCATTATTGATGTTTAGAAATGCTACAAATTTTGTACGATGATTTTGGATTCTGCAATTTTACTGAATTTATCAGATCTAAGAGCTTTAAGTGGAGTCTTCAGTTTTTCTAGGTATAAGATCATGCCATCAGCAAAAAGAGAACAGTTTGAGTTCCTTTTTTCCAATTTGAGTGCTTTTGTTATGTCTTTCTCTTACCTGATTTCTCTGGCTAGAACTTCCAGTACTAAGTGAACAGGAGTGGCGAAAGTAGGCATACTTAGCTTGTTCCAGTTCTTAGAGGTAAGTCTTTGAGCTTTTCTTCATTCAGTATGATGTTAGCTATGGCTCGCTCGCTCACTCTCTCTCTCTCTCTCTCTCTCTCTCTCCCTCTCCCTCCGTCCCTCCCTCCGTCCCTCCCTCTCTCTCTCTCTCTCTCTCTCTCTCTCTCTCTCTCTCTCTCTCTCTCTCTCTCTCTCTCCTTTCTTTCAGTCTTACTCTGTCACCCAGACTGGAGTGCAGTGGTGCAATTTCGGCTCACTGCAACCTCCGCCTCCAGGGTTCAAGCAATTCTGCCACCTCAACCTCCAGAGTAACTGGGAATACAGGCATGCACCACCATGGCCAGCTAATTTTGTATTTTTAGTAGACACAGGGTTTCACCATGTTGGCCAGGCTGGGGTTTTTCATATGTGAACTTTATTATGTTAAAGTATGCTCCTTCTATGCCTTATCTGTTGAGAGTTTTTATCATAAAAGGAGGTTGAATCTTATAAAATAATTTTTCTGCACCAATTGAGATGATCATGTAGTTTTTGTCCTTCATTCTCTTGATGTGATCTGTTATGTTTATTGATTTGTATATGTTGATCCATCCTTGCATCCCTGAGGTAAATCCCACTTGATTATGATGTATTATACTTTTGATGTGCTATTTATTGCATTTGGTTTGCTAACATTTTGTTGAGAATTCTTTTCCTCTATGTTCAGAAGGGATATTTGCCTGTAGTTTCTCTTTTTGTTGTATCCTTGTTTAGTTTTGATATCAGGATAATGCTGGTCTCATAGGATGAGCTAGGGAGAATTCCCTCCCCTTCCATTGCTTGGAATAGTTTGAAGAGAATTGGTGTTAGTTCTTTCTGAAAGTTTGGCAGAATTTGGCAGTGAAGCTATCTGGTGCTGGGCTTTTCTTCATTGGGAGACTTTTAATTTCCTTTCTCTTAGAGATCTTTTACCAAATAATTACTGTGTTTCTTTGAAGGCATCATGTATCCTTGATTTTTCAGGTTGATCTGTTCAAGTTTTCTATTTCTTTCTGGTTCCATCTTGGTAAGTTGTATGTGTCCAGTAATTTATCTGTTTCTTCTAAAGTTATCCAGTTTGTTAGTGTTCATAGTTGTTCATATAGTCTCTGATGATCTTTCATATTTTTATTTTTTATTTTGTTTATTGGAGGCTTTGCTCTTTTATTCTTTGTTAGTGTAGCTAGTGATTTATTTTGTTTATCTTTCAGAAAATCAACTCTTTATTTTGTTGATCCTTTGTGTATGTGTATGTGTCTGTGTGTGTTTTGTCTCTATTTCATGTAATTCTGCTCTGATCTTATTTCTTTCCTTCTACTACTTTTGGGCTTGGTTTGTTCTTGCTTTTCTAGTTCCTTAGGGTACATCATTAGGTTATTTATGTGAACCCTTTCTATCTTTTTAGTGTAGCTATTTATTGTTATAAACTTCTCTCTTAGCACTGTTTTTGCTGTCTCCCATAGATTTTGGTATGTTATGCTGCTATTTTCATTTGTTTTAAGAAATTTTGTTATTTCCTCCTTACTTTCTTCATTGCTCCACTGGTTGTTCAGAAGCATGTTTACTTTCCATGTATTTTTACAGTTTCTGAAGTTCCCATTGTTATTGATTTCTAGTTTTATTTCATTGTGGTCTGAGAAGATACTTGATATGATTTCAAATTTAAACATTTTTGAGACTTGTTTTGTGGCCTAACATATGGTCTGCCCTGGAGAATACTCTGTGTGCTGACGAGAAGAATATGTATTCTGTGGCTGTTAGATGAACTATTCTGTAAACGTCTGTCAGGTCTTTTGGTCTAAAGTCCAGTTTAAATCCAATGTTTCTTTGCTAATTTTCTGTTTACATGATCTGTCTATTGCTGACAGTGGAGTGTCCAAGTCCCCAACTATTTTTGTATGAATCTCTCCCTATAAATCTAATAATACTTGCTCAATGTACCTTGGTGCTCTAGTATTGGGTACATAGAACTGTTATATCTTCTTACTGAATTGATCCCTTTATCGTTATATATCATTATACACACACACAAACATGCACATGTGCACGTGCACACACACACACACACACACACCCCATTATGTATAAGGAGATCATTATATAATGATCTTCTTTGTCTATTTTTACTGTTTTTGACTTAAAATCCATTTAATCTGTTATTAGTATAGCTACTCCTGCTTACTTTTGGTTTCTGTTTGCCTGAAATATCTTTTTCCATCCCTTTATTTTCAGTCTATATGTATCTTTACAGGTGAAATGAAATTCTTGTAGGCAGCAGATGGTTGGGTTATGAGTTGTTTTTTTCTATGAAATTCATGCAGCCCATCTATATCTGTTACATAGAAAGTTTAATCTGTTTACATTTAAGGTTATTATTGGTATGTGGAGGCTTGTTCCTGTCATTTTATTAATTGATTTCTGGTTGTTTTATATATCATTTTTTCCCAATCTTAGTTTGTTTATTATTGTGTTTTGGTCACTCGCTATAGTGGTACCATTTGAGTTTTTTCTCTTCCTTATTTGGGTGTTTGCTCTGCCAGTGAGGGGATTTTATATTTTTGTGTGTTTTCATGATAGTGGAATTTGTCTTTTTACTTCAACGTTTAGGACACTCTATTAAACATTTCTTGTAGGGCTGGTCTAGTGGTGATGAATTCAGCTTTTGCTTGTCTGAGAAAGACTTTATTTATTCTGACTATGGTATTCT